TAATATAATAATTTAAATTATAAATATTAACTAATTAAACTTTAATTATTAATTATTATTAAATATTTAATATATAAATATTATAATTTTTTTATTTATATAATAAAAATATTAATTAATAAATAAAACTTAAAAATTATTTATATAATTAAAGACATATTTAATATATATATATATATATATATATATTATATATATATAATTGACAAGTTGATCTATTAGCATGGTAGTTTACCTTTGATACAACGAGGTAAGTATGTAATCCGTCTTAACTAAGTCAACTTATTTTATGTAATTTTTTATATATTAGGAGTAGACACAAATAAGATGAATGAACCCATTTTATTATTCTATTGAATATACTTAAAAAATATTAAATAATTTTTTAGTTCTAAATAACCTTAATAAATAAATTTCTTTAAATATAATCTTAATAATTTATTCTTTTTTAACTTTAACTACAATCTTATTCATTATGAAACAGAAAATATATCTGGAAGATATTATTCAGGTAGGATCCATGTTTGTTTCATGACAAAATAGAAAAAAATATTATTATGAAAGAAATAAAAAAATATTTGTCTTAATTCATCAACAAATACAATAATATTAGTCTTATATATTAAAAAAAATGAAAACTGATTCTTCCACGAACCATTTGGATGAGAAAAATTTTTATGATTATTAACACACAAGGTAGTTAATTTGACTTTTATTTCTTTTAAGTCTGAAGTCAGAGAGAGAAAAAGCTGGGTACTTTGGTGAAGGATTGAAACTCTATTTTGAATTTCATTCGAGTAGGATGAATCTCAAACTTATGAGTTAGGGAATAGATATCCATTCCTACCAAAATTTTGGGAAGCTTTGAAACATATCCCTTAGATGATAGGTATAAAACTCAGTTAGCTAGACATCTTTGTGTAGTCAACAACTATCATTATAGACCAGTGGATCTCAATCTTATCAGCCCATCCTAAATATCACTCAGTTCTTATCCTTTGAATAAGATCATTCAAAAAGATGATGACTCCTAAGAGATACAATTGAGATATGTGTACCTGAAGAAGAATTCCAGAAATTTGAAGATTTGACAGATAATTACAATGAAGAAATGATGTTTTCACAAAAAGATGTATTCTTACTAGGACCCGCTACACAGAAATATGACAAGGAGTGAGCCAATGAATTATTCTGATTCTACCAGATCTGATTCGAAGTAAAGACTTTCGTTGAGTTTGAAAGGTAGTTGGTCGAAGAATTTAGGATTCTTCCACAAAGGATTTGGATGAGAAAAATCTTCATGACTATTAACACACACTACAAGAAATATTAAAATTATCGACGGTCAAAATCTATCGGTAATAATAAAAATCCGTCGGTAAATGAATATTACCGACGGAATTCTGACGACAAAAAATCCGTCGAAAATTTGGTTGTCGGTAAATATTACCGACGGATTTAATAGTCCGTTGGTAATTATCGACGGATAAATCCGTCGGTAAATGCTTTACAAAATTACCAACGGACAGGAATCTGTCGGTAATAATTTTATTATTTATTAAATATTTTACTTATTTATAACATATTTTTTTTATAGAACCCCCTCCCTTTTATATTCTTATTATTTATTATTAATTATTTCTTCATATTATATTTTTATAACTTTGAATTATTATTAGTTAGAGACTCGATACTCCAACCACTAAGCTCCTAGAATTTTTTGATAATAATTTACAAATAAATTATATTTATATATTTTTATATATTTATATATTTATATATTTATATATTTATATATTTATATATTTTTATATATTTATATTTTTTTATTCATATATTTACATATATTTATATTTATTTTTTAAAATTATTTAATTTAATAAATTATTATAAATTAATCTAATTATGATTAAATTAAATTATTAAATAAAAAATATTTTATTTTTTAATTAGGTGAATAATTAAATTATTAAAATATATTAAGTAATTATTATATAATTTTACCGACGGATATATCCGTCGATAACTAATTATTAATTTACCGACGGAAATATCTGTCGGTAAATAATTGTTAATTTACATATGAATTTACCAACGGATATATCCGTCGGTAATTAATTGTTAATTTATCGAAGGATTTACCGACAGATATATCCGTCGGTAAATTCATCTATAATTACCGATGGATTTATCGACGGATATATTCGTCGGTAGCTAATTATGATTTTACCGACGGATATATCCGTCGGTAACATCAAATTCCACAAATATTTTATATCCGTCGGTAATGATTATTTTCCGACTGCTACAAATCTATCGGTAAAAATCCGTCGGTAATACGCGATTTTCTTGTAGTGACACATGGTAGTCACTTTTAATAGAGAAGAGAAGATAGACTCATTACAAAAAAAAATTGGGAATTTCCCATAAGTAATTGAGTGTGAGAGCCAAATGAATCGAGAGATTCATGTTTGGTTCGGGAAGAGATCATAAACATCCTATTCAGTTCTAGCTAGATTTCAGCAATAAGAAATGCTACATAAGTATTTTTCAAATTGAAATTGTTAAGTCCATTGAGATTATAGAATTTTTTGCTCATTTTTTAATAATGTTTCTCCATATCCTTAATCTTTATTGAACAATATCTCATTTTAAAAAATACTGCTGAAGTTTGTCCCTGTTCATGGAACTGGTTTTGTCTAACAGCTCCCAAGTTATGGTATCATTCCTTAAAAATTTTTTTTTTGTAGGGATATATTTGAATCTCAAAAGTTGTCTGTGTCTTTAATAGTGACAAATTTTCTTGGGAACTGAAGAGGAGTCGTGACCTCCAAAGTTTTGTAACTCCCATATAATTTATGATTTTAGTCTCCCAAACTTAATGACCATTTAATATATTTACTTGTATATTTACAATTTTATCATCTCAAACTCTCTTTAGTTTTGTAACTCTCTTATAATTTATGATTTTACTTAATGATTATTTAATATATTTACTTATACATTTACAATTTTATCTTCTTACCCTTTTATCTTCTTTAATCCTTCTATATTTATTAGTTATTTATTAATAATATATGATCCGATCCTTCCAAAATTAATAGTCAAGATCAATTTGAATGAAATATTAAGTAATATTATACCATATGGTAAAAAGTGTTGATTCATTAAGATCTCATACAAGTTCACGTAGAAGAAGGGAAATCAGGATAAAAATTCGTTCCTGGTTAAAAGATTTTGTATCTTAAAATTTCATGGAGAGAATAAAAAAGTTTTTAAATATATAAGTATACTTTTTTTTCACGTTTCGTACAAGTTTTATCTTTAATTAGTTTTCATGTATGTGTTCATTGAGATATAAAAAATAAATTTTATAAATATTTTATTAAAAAAATAATTATTTATTGATTTCAAAAACATACCTTAAATGATTCCTATAAAAAAACTGACAAAATATTTAATAAAAGTAAAATATTAATGGTGTATTAAATGTTTATCAACTATATTTATTATTTTATGTTTTAAAATATATGATGTTTAAGGTTACGACTAGGGGTGTCAAAGTGAGCCAACCCACGGGTTGAGCTGAAAATAGATGAGCTCAACCGGCTCACTTTTTGGTGAGCCAGAAATTTTACAATCCGGCTCAACCCACCACGGGTTGGTGGGTTAGGTGGGTTGACTCACTAACCCATATTTTTTTAAATAATATAAATATAAAATATATATATATATATATATATATATATATTTCCAAACTTCGGATGTAGAAACTTTTGCTTTTTTCCTTTTTTTCTCAACATCGAGTATCTTCATTATTAACTGAAATTGGCTCATTGGGTTTTTCATTAACAATAAAATCATCACCAACACAATTCACATTGACACTTTGATGCATTGTTTCGATTCCATACTTGTAAATTAATTTGAAAGAAAGAAGTCAAAAATTCATATATTAAAGAGATATACGTATAAATCAATAACAAACAACAAATAATGTATAGATGCTACGAGTGAGTACGGTGATGTAGTGATACGATGAAGATGAACATATGATAAGATAGTGCGGCGACAAACGTAGTGTTGCTTGATAGGGTTTGACTTGTTGTGGCGGCAGTAACAATATAGGATAGAGATGAGGCGGGATAACATTTAGGGTTACTTGAAGTATTATAATTGTTTTTAAAATTTAAAATATAATTATTAATTAAGGTTAATATATATTATAATTATTTTTAAAATTTAAAATTAATGGTGGGTTGCGGGCCAACCCACCATAACTGGCTCGAACCCGTTTAACCAGTGGGTTAAGTGAGCCGGGTTCATTTTTAGCCCATAATCGGTAGAAATAAAAAAATCCAACCCAACCCGGCTCGAACTCGTGGTGAGCCGGGTTAGCTCACGAGTTAGAACCCATATTGACACCCCTAGTTACGACACACAAAGATAAATATTTATTTTTATTATTTTTAATAAATTTATTAATTATTTTTATTAATATTTATATCATCTTAATTTTTTTCTAACTAAAATATTTTTAATTAATTTATTATCTCTAATCAAAATATTCTTAAATAATTTATTATCTCTCACTAAAGGAATCTTAAATAATTAATTATTTCTAACCAAAGTACTCTTTAATAATTTATTAGGTTTAACCAAGATATTTTGAAGTAGTTTGTTATTTTTTATTAAAATATTTTAAAATAACTTGTTATCTCTAATTAAAATAGTGTTAATTAATTTGTTTACAAAATAAGTGTGGAATAGGTAAAAAATAATTAATAACATCTGAAATTTGATTAAAATTGTTATAGAAAAAAAATATATCTCAGGAAAAAAAAAACATATCTCAGGAAAAAAAAAACATAACTAGGGAATGTATGTGCTATATAACCCTGACTTCAATGGCATCTTCCTCACTTCAATTTTGTTCCATTTCAGTCAAATTAAGCGTGAAGATGACTAAAATGGTGTGCGCATTCCTTGTAATTTTTGTGATGGGTTTCGTCACTCAACTTGCATATGTGAGTAAAGTTTCTCTGCTTCTAATCTTGCACACATATTTTGCTTGTATCACACTTTTACGTTTTAAACATGTTTGTCTTGCACATTACAGGGTGGTGGAGAAGGATCCGTGAAAGTGGAAGGTAATTGATTTTTTTGAAACAGTTGAAAAACAAAAAAAAGAAGCATTTGAATTGAATAGCGTGAACTGAAAATGTGTTACATGAACGATTTCAGATTGTCCGAAAGAATGCGCACGGCGTTGTTCGCAGGCGCATGGGATGAAGGCGTGTCTGTTCTTCTGTAATCTGTGCTGTGAAAAGTGTTTGTGTGTCCCATCAGGAACCTACGGCAACAAGGAAGAATGTCCTTGCTATGAGAACTGGAAAACCAGGGAGGGAACGCCCAAGTGTCCCTGATTCATTCTCCATTTCCATGTTTCTCTTTTCTCACATCTAATAAATTCTATGCCTCTTTTTCATCCTTAATCCTTCCTATTTATCATTAGTTCCATTCACCATATATCAATCTCTTTCTCATTTATTGTAAATTTAATAATATACTTTTAACATTCAAACTAAGTAATAAATCACAACTAATTCATCATTCTTAAATTTTTCTAAACTAATGCAAGGGGAGTCAACTCAAATTTTTGGATCAATAATTGTGCAACAAAATAAGATAGAAGGAGCAATTTTAAATTTTTTTTTAAATAAATATTTTATGATAAACTGTATTCTTTTTTATATATAATATATGCAAATATTACCCTATTATAATTAAATAAAATCCATTTTCTTTCTAACACGAACATAGTTGTTTTTCATAAAAATATATGTAATTTGTAATAAAGCCGTAAATACCTTTTACGTATTCAATATATGACCGTTTATTATTTTAGTATTTCGATAACTTTTTTTTTTTTCAAATCGAGTTTAATCTTTTTGTTACTTCCTTCAATTCTATGATCCAGATATTATTAAATTGTTATTTTTATCACAAACTGATTACAGTAATACATAATTATTTTGTATGTATGTATTACAGTAATACATAAAAATATAAAATCGAAACTTTCAAAATATTCCAGAAGATTAACCAAAATAAAAACAAATAAGTTTTTAATAATTATAAAAAAAATTTAATTCATGAAATACTTAATTATTTTGTATTTTAAAAGACAATATATTAAAAACTTAAAATATATTTACCCAAAAAATATATAATACTAAAAATTGAATTATTATTTGTTTTAAAAATATTTATTAAAACGATATAAAGAAAGGAAGGGAGTGTAAAGTTTGTAATATATTGGGGGAATTTGAATATTACTGTAAACGTTAGCGTGGAGAGGGGAGGGAGAGGGTTTGGCAAAGCAGGTATTTCGATTTTCCTTTTATTAATAATAAAGCGTTTCTAATAAAAAAAGAAGAAGAAGAAGGAACGAGTTATGTTCTATGTCTATGTTATGATGTGAATTTGACGAGAGTGGCGAAGCCAATTCAGTTCTGATTTCAGATTCGTCTCACAGCCACCGCCACAGGTTCCCTTTCGTTTTTCAATTCTTTTGTACAAATATTGCTCTCTCTCTCTCTCTCACCACACACACACACTATGTACTTGTTACTTTTCCTTTTATTTCCGTTCGTTTCGTTCCAATTTACGCTGCAATCTGCATTCTCGTACCTTCTCTCTCTCTCCACACACACACACACACTGTTCTGTTTTAATTTTCAATTTATGTAATTGCTAAAGACCAAACCAGACTAAAGTCATGCTAACCTAGGCATTTAGTAAGAAAGTGGAGGAATCTAGTTCTACACCTGCAAACATCCGCCACAGCCTAGGGTAACTCTATTCACAAAAATGCAACTGAAAATCAACCTCTGACAAACTGAATAAGATGCAAACATCTTCAGACTATCCACAAACCACCTCAAGATTAACAAACGATTACTAAAATAAGGGTGTCTATATGCTCATCTGGCTGTATCGCGAATTAAGTTATGAAATGAAACTATTTATTTATAATTATACTTATGGCTGATGACAAAATAATGTGTTATTTGCATATTGACTCCGATCTTACCACCCAAAGTTATCACATTCTCCTTGTGTGTGCAAAGTGACTGGATAAGAGAATGAGTGCAGAGATTGATTCAACTTCTGCTCCTGAACCTCACAAATTGTCTGGAGCTTCATCTGCAGCCACTACTAGTGGCCAAAAGCTCTCTATATTTGCTGCCAAGTCAGGATTTGTCATCCCTAAAAATAAATTATCGGGGTCACTGGTCCCTATTTTCCGAGGGGCTAAGAAACACGGTGTCACTGGATCCATCAATGAAGAAAGTTCGAAACAAATTGAGAGGAGATCCAAATGGGGACCTGATCTGACACAAGATGCAACTGTCAGGAGGGGAAAGGCTTTAGCTTTGCAGGTGTTTTCTCAAATCCTTTCAAACAATACTCCACTAACATTTATACTGATATGTAATTTTTTTCTCTTATTCCTCCATCATCTTTCCTTGAAAGTATTAAATTATAAGATTGCATTACATTTGTTTACAAGTTTTGATTGAAATGTTTATTTTTTAATACTCCTTATTCCTTTTTATTTTAGTTTTACAAGGATCCTCACATCCTTTGGCCATGATACCCCTATGCCAATTTAATCATTTATACTGTATATTGTGAGATTCACAAATGTTTACTTACACGAATTGACATTAGTATAGAGATCATTTGTCGGACTTTGGCATGGAATTTTATGGCTAAAAGGTACTAAAATTCCTTTACAAGTCCTGCCATATTGTGTGCTTCTGCTAATATTTTGCACAGGTACTTGCTTCCGTGGTGTCCACAACTGATACTGTTGTTACACACAATTTGTAGATTCGAGTGGATCAAATTACAAAGCAGTTGGAATCAGAAAAACTGGAAGTTGGGGACACTCAGAACTTTCCATTGGGAGCTGAGAATTCAGATCAAAACAAATCTGGCTCTCAAATTAACAGCAAGGTTAGGAACAATTGTCACTGTTCCTTTTACTTTTTATCACTTATTATATTCTTAATGCTGTGCATTTATTATTATTAAACAAACCTCTGCTGTTGATTTATGGATCTAAGAAGTCAGAAATGCTTGAACTTGAAAAGCGGGAAGCAATAGGTTTGTTTTCCTTGAAGTATCTATCCTTTTTATGTTTGCCCAACTGCCCTTTAATTCATAAAGGCTGTTTATTCCATAATAATCTTGATCTTAATCATTTCCAGGTGAAATACTAAAATTAGATCCCAGTTACAAGCCTCCACGTGGTTTCAAACCATTGTTAAAAGAAGCCAGCATTCCTTTGCCTGTAAGTATTGATTCTAAAATGAAGTCCGAAATTTCATAATTTAATAATCCAATGGGTTGAGAAAAAATGGATGAAACAGTGCCATCCATTAATTACAATAACCCAGTCCATACAATCCATTTACTGTTTACTGAAATTAATTGATTGCATTGGTTCTAATTAGTATTGATTATTTTGCCACCAGTATGCATCCAGCATGTTTTGTACAGCCTTTTTTCCTTGCTGTCAATCAAAATTGATAAAAAATAAGGGCAATGCAGTGCCTGAGTCTCTCATCTAAAACGGTTTGGGGAGCGTGCATATACTCAGTCATACCCCCACAAACCAAGGAAGTTTTCTAGGATTTGAACCATGACTTGTAGGTCACAAGGTAGCATCCTTACCATTGTGTGGACACTTATCCTCTACTATTGACATCTATACTATGGTTGAAATTTTGTGGGTCTTGTAATATTTCTTTATGTCGTTAGATTGTGACAATTTTTAGGTGACGAGGCCTTATATTATATCTTTACCAGTTTGAATTGAAGGTCCTTGTTTTTTATCTGAGCATGTGGCAAGTGTTAATTAACCGACTAGTAACAGATAACGCATTTCCAGACTTTCCTGAAATGATCTTCTCATTCATTTTCCTGGGTCTGCTTTCCTGATGGATGATGTTGTTGGAGAAGCTCACTCCTCATATTATTTAGAGAAAGTTGAAAACTAACTTGTATAAGATGTATCACTGAATTGAGCTTCAGAATTTAGCGGCACCAACATCCCAGACTAAATTACAATATATTACTAGTATACTCAATAAATATGATTGCTCTGCAGGGTAACTGCAAAATGACTCAACCTCTTTTGCTTCTAATATGTTTACGCTGAAGTTTGGCATTCCTTTGTTGTAATTTAATTAAGAATGATCTGTTACCTTTTTCAAGATTAAAATATCTTTAACTTAACTAAACCTGAAGTTCTATAATACAATGAAAAGTCCTACATGTAATGCCATACCATTTTACAGGTCCAAGAATATCCTGGGTACAATTTTGTTGGTCTGATATATGGGCCTGAAGGTGATAATCAAAAACAACTAGAAAAGGTAAGATCATTGGATTGATATCAAATCTTCATCTAGTGATTTGCTTTCAGTAAGCTGTATATGCTGATATAGATCATGAAATTAAATTCTTCATTTTTCAACTGATCTCTGATCAGGAAACTGCTGCCAAGATAAGAATTCACGGAACCAAGGCAGACACAGGAGAGAGAGTTAGTTCCTTCACTTCATTCATAATTTATTGTGGCTTTTATCCTGCACATATAACTTTGAAATATTTTAACTTCATTTTGGATGAAAGAACTGTAATTTTTTGCATTTGTTTTCTGTTTTCCATTCATTTATAGATACATTTTCAGGGTGAAATTAAACCTGGAACTGATATCCAGTGCAGCTACAAAGAGATGTATGTTAACATATCAGCTGATAGTTATGAAAAAGTGGATGCAGCAATGTCAATCATTGAACTGCTAATTACCTCTGTAACTGTGAGTCTTGTCATTTCACTTGACAGAAGGTTTTATGATTTATGGTTATGTATACATTTTATTACTACTAGTTTTAAAATGATGTTATTCCTTCTGCTATTTTCATTGTTCCTTGTAATAATTGCTCTCTTTTACTCAGGGGAATTTAGCCGCTGGTTCTACACCCTCTATATCAGTTTCTAGGGACAGCCCTAATCTTCTGTGTCAAAGCCAAGAAGGTCACCCTTCTCATGCAGATTCTGTATCTCTGGAAAATCAGGCTGTGTTGCAACCAGTAGCTATTACCCAAATGCATGGAGATAACTTTCAATACTCTACACCATGGTTTTCAGTGGTTCCATCTAACACCCCTGTGTTTGCTTCATCTGGCTCTGTGGCCCCCCCAAATCCATTAGGTCTTGCCAGAACTCCCCAATTTCCATCGCAAACTTCAAACACGGTTCCTTCTTTTGGTGCTCAACCTGGAATTGCTATCGGATTTCAACCAATTATTCCAAATCATCATGTTTCTGTGCAAGCACTACCACCAAGACAGATTTTACACTATCCACATTTAACGCAGGCAAGTCCTTTGGGTCACGGTGGTCCCCCAAGAAATGCATCTATAATATCTGTACAGAATCTGCCAACTCCAACAAATGCTTCACTTTCCTTTCCTGTTACTTTAAGCCAACCAACGCCAGTAGGACAACTGCAGAATTCAGTGTCTTCGTTGCATCTACCTATATCTGGTGTATCACCGTTGCCAATACCTAACCAGCCCATCACCCATCATGGGGTCCCTTCTGGCCAGAATGAAGCCCTTGTCACTGTTAAAACATCTATTGGTCCAAGCAATATGGGGTCAATGGCTCCACCTGGAAGACCTGCGTCTCTACATCAACAACCGGATGTTGCATTGAGGCCACTACAGTCAAATATGTCAATGATGCCACGGTCTGCCTCCTTTCCTCCATATCAAGTAGGAATATCCCTTGGACCACTATCTTCTTTAAGACCAATGTCTGTACCAATCCCTGCACCTACACCTTCATCTGTAAACCATTTATCGGGACCTGTTTCATTTCCTTCATCTGGAATATCCCCTTCACTTCCATTGCCTCAGCAAGCAGGAATACCTAATTCTGCTTCTAGAGTTTCCCCTTATCACACTCATGTAAAACCATCCGTCATGGTGCCATCAAAATCTGGAAATTTTACTTTTCAATCGCATCCCCCCAATGCAGATTACAGTCAAGTAGTTTCTGGACCAAACAGTCAAGCAGGTGCTACACAAGAGCCACCTTCTGGTCCTCGGCCTCCACCATTTGGGTTTACTGCGCCAGATCAGGCTCCTCAAATCTTTCCAAGGACACAATTCCCCGCTCAAGTGGATCAAACCATTCTTTTCGGGGGAAGATCAGGTTCCATCTCGAACTCAATTCCAGCACCCAGACATACTACATTTCCATATGGTGGTCAACCTGCACCTAGATCTCCAGTCCCACAAATGGGTATGAAGAATTTAATTTCTGCTCCGCAAAGGCCAAACTTGACCAGTGCTGTTGCCCAAAGAGGCATGCCTATTCGACAAAGCTATCCTGTTCATATGGCACGACCAGATATCCCAATTCCCTTAAATCACAAGTTTGTCAACAATCCCTTCGTGGCTTCTGGTAAGCCACCATATTCTGCGGACCAAATTTATGACCCTTTTTCACCCACTTCTGCACCTCCACTACAGAAAGGTAATCCTGGAAAATGAGGGAATTGCATTGGCCACAGATACGTTACTGACAGTGAAAACTCTAGTCATGACTGCAGTTTTAGGCAAACAAGGGAGGTATTATTTGTATAGATTAATAATGGGATTGATTACAAATTATATATGATTTCTTACCGGTTTAAGTCGAGGACATATTGTATTAGTTGGTTTTAGGCCTTTCTTTTCTGAATGCCCATTATCGATGCTTGATTGGGAATTGAGTTCAGCCAACCTTGGCGGGAATATGGTATTCCCTTCACTATGTAAGCCACATCATTTCATTAGCATTTGGATTTCATCACTATGGCAGTTGCTGCTGTTGGTTTTAAGTTTATTTTTCTTTCTTTAATCTTGCCAATCAGTCAGAAATTATGTTAAATATGATATTCAAAATAATAAATAATAGTGTAATTTTCTTTATATTGTCAATATACCCTGATAAAATATTAATAGTAATATGACATGTACCGTGCCTTTAAGAAAGTTTTGTGCATCAAGTATATCGTTATTTTTTAAAGGTTCCTTTAGAATAAATAAATTAAAACTATTTCGAGAAATCAGGAAGTATGTTTCGGGCAATCTTCTTTATTTCATTTACAGGTACGTCCCAGCGCAACCGTCATTATCCTCTTTACACTCTATTTCTTTCATTATTAAGCTTTTGAAAAGAACAAATAAAATGGAGATGATGTTTTATTCTGTGAACAAAGTAACATTTATTTCCTCAAAATTGAGAGAAAAAGAAAGACACTGGACCGCTCTTTTGAGGATGACAACTACTGTGTCTGCTGTGTAAATATTTTTTAAACATATTGATCGAATGTATTTTTAATTTTTTTTAGGCTTGAAAAAAGTGAAACTAAGGTTGTTCCTAAGTTAGCTAAAAACCAAACATTCTGATGCAGCAAAAGATGAAGACATTTTGAATATAAAAAGACAAATTACTATTGTCAAGTGACGCGTCAATAGCTGTAAATGCGTACAGCATAGACAAATTTCTTATGGAGAAGAGGAACACAACACAAGGTTATTTGCTTACTTCAATTAAGGCTTTTGGTTCTTTCCGAATTCCCAAGCCTTTCAACATAACATAACAATAATCAATTTATATTTGTAGGTAGATAATCACGGATTGATCATTCACAAAAATAAAAAATAATGGACAGATCCAAAATAGTCACGGGTTAGCCTAAAGAATATGTCGATTTGTCACGGGTTCATCTTACGTATGATAAAAAAAAAGTTAGGTTTTAAGTCTTATTGCAGAACTTTCAAAAATTAATCATGTATCACTTCAAGTAATATTCACTATAATAATTATAATTTTTTTTAACGTGATGCTTCTGTCTATAATTACGTTGAGCAAAGAAACTCCATTCAAAACAATCAGTAAATCATAAAATCATTTAAAAATACTTCTCCGAATAAAATTTCCCTTATTTTCTGTTTGGTAAATACTTTTGTCTCACAACCTTTTATTTTTAAAACTTACACAACTCTCATATTTTATAAATATTAATATTTAATGATATACGTAGGGATTAAATTTAAATAAAAAATACCTTTATTAACTGAGTGTTTTAATTTATAAATAATATATCTTGGATTTCATCACAGCTAAGTCAGTTCAATCACAGTGAAGATGAGTTTTTTCTCATATCTCCATTGTTGACCTCCATTTTTCAATTAATTTTTGGCGATAAATTTGCCACATTAGTTTCAATCTGTCCTTGAAATTTACAACCTTAGTTTCTTTTCAGCAGAAATTATTGTGAATTTAGCACCTCTAACGGAGTAGACAAGTTGAACTCCACCTTTTACCTATTGCATGTAATTTTTTTTGGTGATTTTGTTTCTCCCGTTTCAACATTTTAAGTTGGTGAAAGAATAATAGGAAAGGGCTTTACCAGATTGTCATTTAAACACTTTGGAGTGCAGATGCAGAGCATGCAATTGCAATTTGAATGCTGTTTCTTTTCCCAATATCTGCTTCAACACTTGTCAGAGGTACTTGCTTCTTCTTACCCTCCTAATTTATTCCTTGAACATACAATGGGTTGCATCAAATGTGTGTGTTGCTATTCAATAGTGAAGTACATATTCGTCTACCATTCCCTGTGGCTTGCTTTTGATATTCTTTTTCTTACTTCATTCCTATACCCTATCTGGTTTCATATAGACTCATATTGGAAAAAAATAAATGGGGACCTTATTGCACAAATGGTTCTTAGTTTTTTTGTCATGATAGAAGAAACATAACGAGGACTATGGAGCACATAGAGACAAAAATAGGTTCACATGCGATAGAGATGTAGGCCCCCACAGCCACAAGCCAGAGCACTATGGCTCGTAAAGTCATACATAAGTCACAACCAAAGCAAAGCAAAGCATAATGTTACAAACAATAACATTTACATAACATAGCTTTGTATCAGATCAGATTCCCTTCACAACAAACTCATTATTCGAATGGTTTCCAAAAGCAAAAGGGTGAGGGATGTAGCATTCTCCTCCACCATCTTGCTGTTACTGTTGGTTGGCTTTGCAAACTCAGATTTAGCCAAAGACAGAGAAGAGTGTGCAGACAAACTAATGGAGCTGGCTAGCTGTGTTCCTTACGTTGGTGGTGAGGCCAAAACCCCAACCATAGACTGCTGCAGTGGCCTCAAAGTGGTCCTTGACAAGAGCAAGAAATGCATCTGCATCCTCATCAAAGATCGAGATGACCCCAATCTTGGCATCAAGATCAACGCCACTCTGGCTATTCAACTGCCTTCTGCTTGCAACGCACCTGCTAATATATCTAATTGTGTAGGTACTTACTAATATCATCTCACTCTTCTTTCTCCATATTTCATTTCATTTCAATGCCCTCCCTCGTGTCATATCATACCATATCATACTTTTCAGATCTTTTGCATTTAGCACCTAACTCTCCTGATGCTAAGGTGTTTGAGGGATTCCAAAAATCAGCCAAAACAAACACTTCCACCCCAGTTTCCAGTGGTAATTATTATTATATTATTCTTGTACGTGTTTCTGATCCATCTTATGCTCTATATATGATGTTTTGAAAGTTGAAAAATTGCAGCTCCAGGTGGTGCTGAGAAGGGATCAAGTTCAAGCTCTAGTGGTGAGGAAAAGAGTGGTGTGTCCGCAAAGAGGTGGCCGGTGGCACACCTGCTTTCCTCTGTCCTACCACTTCTTTTCATTCTTGTTTGAAGTGAACCACCATCAACACTCGGGTGCCACTACTTGCTTCACGTGTCTATTTCTGATAGTTTTTCACGTTTCCTTAAATACTCTATATTTTTGTATGAAAAACTAAAATAAAATCATTCTGTCTATCTATAAATGAGTTAGTTTTTGGGTAGTAGTAATTATCAATTCTTGTTGTCTTCTTCATTCTTTACACTGTGTTTGTGTGTGCGAGTTAATTCTATTTATCTAAACAAAACGAGTCATTTAAAGGGGGGATCCATTGTTAACATAGTTCATAGTTAGTTTTACATGTAGCATTTATATTACTCTCTGCGTATAATGAAATGAAATAGTAGTTCTTCTTTACATATGCTAAAGTACCCTGACCAAGTAGAAATAAACTACCAGTTCACATTTAATATTGAGGAAACAAATATTAATGGTAGATGCTGCCCTTTTTTATTTCCCTCCATATAGATCCATCCATTTCAGGATTTGGATTGGTGACATTGATTTTTTTGTCTCTAGCAGCTAACTAACAAACATGCTCCAAATACACTATGCAACCATGTTTTGGGCTTTATGTTTCGGCCCCTTTTTTATTTCATATTTTGGAATTTGTTTTGTTTGATTGCTAAACCAACTCATCTCCGATTAAGCAACAGTGTATATAGATATTACATTTACGTATTATAGGATAGAATTTCATGAATAACTAACTCATTATGTGAATATCTATAATGATCAATTACGGATGACTGGCGCCCAGCTCTCTGCTTGGAGTCCCTACCCAAAAGCTTAATTGAACTATGCAAATGCATTTTATATAATTATGTTCTTATTATATATGTATCTGGAACAAAGGTGAATTTCCAACTAATAATTTAGCTTCGTCAAAGATTCCTAATTTAAATATTTGCAGCGTTCGCCAATGTTTCACTAGATCATCTCGTTGCACAATAGTTAATGTACAATATAATAAGATGTCGCAGACAACTCTATATATTCTTTTCTTGCGTTGTCTTCTTCAACAGCTAGTGTGCTTTTACACTTTTATACTGTGACTGTATATACATGATCTCTCTGGAATCTCAGCAACATTGAGAGGCGATAGAATCTTACCAACTTCCCAAGGGATTGTTTAACACATTTATGCTACACTTCAAAATAAAATAATGCATTTGTATAAGAGACACCATGAACAAACATTTCCACGTAAATATGCAATACAAACACCCAGTAAGAGTACTTTCAATCGTTTCAGTCACCACTAAAATAGTACAAAACCTTAACCCATCAAAATTGGGAAACTCAAAATGACAACATATATTGGGTAGAAACATGATCCGAAAGATAAATAGATTCAACTGTAAAGAAAGGCCTCCACCTCTCCCACCGCAATTCTACAACCTTTCTCCCACCAAAATAACCACCCAAAGTGAAAGGGTACAGAGACTTGTTAAAATGAACTCCGAATATGTTAGTAATCCCCACTGCCATCACCTACTGACACTGCACGACCTCTACTGATCCGGTAATTATGCCACATACACCCGCATCTCTCTTGGTGATTCGAATTGTAAACCGTACAAAATGATGTTGGATTGACACACCCGGACGGCCAAAGTAAATTGAAGACCATGAACTTGAAAATAAGACAAAAAAGGGAGAAAAATCACCCTATAGGTGTATGTCTGCACCTAATACCTAAGACAGTGTGTATAATGCTATCAGCCATTGAAAATCAGTCCCATGCACTGGTTACCCCAGGACCATATCCTCCACCATACCCACCAGAACTGCCATACCCACCACTGTTCCCTGTACTATAGTAATCAGAACCACCTCTACCAAAAGAACCTTCTCTTCGAAAGTCACGGCCACCAAATCGGCTTCCACCTGATCGACGATTCCGTCCACCACCATAAGAAGAGCGAGCTGCGTACCGTGAGAGCCAATCAGGTACTTCTTGATTTGCTTCTTGCATCAGATCTGCTAAAGACCTAGCTAGGGAAGCATTGTTGTCATTAAAGAATGCGGTTGCAAGGCCTTTCTTTCCTGCTCGCCCTGTTCTTCCAATACGGTGTACATAATCATCAATATCATTAGGAAGGTCAAAGTTCACCACATGTGCAACATGTGGAATATCAAGACCACGTGCAGCCACATCAGTTGCAACCAATATGGGGGTGTTGCCAGTTTTAAATGATCTTAATGCCAATTCTCTTTCCTGCAGCCATTGTAAAATGATAAGCCTATAAGAAGCATATGTAGAAAGATTTCAAACATGGTAATTGTAACAACAGTTGACCCTGAGACAGTATGATATTTGCATGCTCCAGCTTCAAATAGAGAAAGTAAACTCAGACTAACTCTGTAAGAAGTGCTCAAATTCATGGGAAAAAAAAATCATTATCAAGAACACGTGCAGAAAAGTCATTTTGAGCCCACTAATCACCATTGCCCATGACAGAAAAACCGATTTTGAATAGGTATAACCCCATGGGCGTATCCTCTTAATATGATGTTTGGTGTGTGGAATATTCTAGCAACTGTTGGGCTGAAATGTGAAATACCTATGTTTTTCATGGATTTTGGGTGAATTAGGTTTCAGAAAAACAGAAGGGAGCAACAAATCTTGAACACTGTTGTTTTGGAAGGGTTTCAGCACTGTTATGCACTCAAGAATTTGCCCCTGAACTTGCAAGTTTACATGAGTTCATACAAGTTCATCTGAGTTTGCAAGCGTTCTGACTTGTTCTTGATAGGTAAGAACACAAACTCAAATAGTTAACTAGTTAAAAATCTAGCAACCATGATAAAACCTACATCTATCTCAGATTGCGGTGCACAGCAGCAAACACTAAAAATGCTATAATGAGAAGTTATTTAATATATGAGGCTTCATTGCTACCTTTAGTTTCCTCAGAGGTCAATAACGGAGTGCAGTGAGGCTGCCCTCGTCAAAATGCTAAACCAAGATGGTAGTATGACAATTACTCTGAATTTATTGTACCCTTTCTGAAAATTTTTAATATAATTATTGCTTTTTTACATTTTAAGTACATATAGTTTGTCTATATTACCTATGTACATATTTCTTATTATATATATATATATATATATATATATATATTATTTAGCTTATTATATTTTATTGCAATCAGTTTAATTTATTATATCATATATTATGTCTTGTTTATTACTATTATTTATTTAACATTTATTATTATTATTATAATTCTAGCAAGGGACAGGTACTCTCAATATGCAACAAAAGAGATTGAAGAACAAAAAGGCTAGGACTTTAATACGCATGATTTTACAGGTTGTACCCCATCAAATCCCTATGCAACAAAGCCAAAACACAGGAGCGGCTGCAAAAACCCAATTCTGGCTGCGATTGGCTGTGCTACTGCTCCTACTGCAAGCTGCTCTGTCACAACATACTCATGAGGGAGGGTGGCCGCTCCACTCCGTCAATAGGCAATCAGGGAGTGATAGCACGCAATTGACAACTGAGCCTCCCTACTATTGTCATTTCTTGAATTTGGTATGCTCATTCTTTTACCAATTTGGTGTCCCCCCAAACCGATTATTTTAATTGTTTAGTTTTGATCTACCCAATGACATTACATCCAAACTTCAACATAAATACTGGCATAGCACTTCATTGCACATCCATGGCAACACTACTACCATGCTAGCCTTTTTATTAAATATTAAATGTCAAGTTAACGAATGAACCAAAATTGCAAAAAAAAAAAATGAAAACCAAATTTGAGAAATGATAATAATAAGGGGAATAAAAGTACAATTAAGCCTAAATATTATAATGAAAAATAAATAACTTATACCACACATTTAAAGTGGTTCCTAACTGACTACCTCTTTCAATCAAACTGTCCAAACTGACCTCCCCCCCCTCCCCCTCCCCAATCCTCCCCTTTTAGTCTATTACATGTTGTGACTCACAATTTCTTTTAAATAGTCTTATATAAGGTCCTAACGCAGACAAACCTAGGAGATTCAGATGTCATCACCCTACTTTCAAAGACATGAACTCATAACTGTCTTTTACATGTGACTGACAACTGTCTTTTAAATAGTAGTCTTATACAAGGTCCTAACAGAAAAACCTAGGAAAGTCAGATGTCATCCCCCAAATTTCCACGACATTAGCTCTATAAACCAGATGTGCTTACATAATACCCTGTGCATCCAACACTTCTCTACCAAAACATCACACATTATTACAGAAGAAAAAAAGGAGAATAGTTGGAGTATGGGCCTTGTCCAACAAATATAAAGCAAAGTAGTAGTCTAAATCTACACAAAGATACAAAAACAAACACAGTCGTACAACAGACTAACCTGTTGTGTCCGGTCACCATGAATAGTAGTTGCTGGAAAACTGTTACGACACAACCAGTGCTCGAGAGCATCAGCTCCCTTCTTTGTCTCCACAAAAACTAAGGTCAAAGCTTGCTGCAGAAAATAAAATCATCCATGAACTAGACTTAGATAATTTAGCAATAGCATATTTTCTTTGAGAGAGAAACATGCCCATACAATGAGAAAACACAACATCCACGCTATAATTTACCACATAAACTAAAATATACACATGCAACTGTCAAGAAGTAAGAAATACCTGACACAGCTTTGGACATACAGAAAAAGAAGTAGAAATATTTTAGACAACAGAATACATGTAATCGTGTATTGACCAAAATATGATCATGCAAAACAATTATATTGGGCTGATCAGCATAGTCCAGAAAAACCAATCCAACTTTGGTCGAAACAGTTTCTCTGACAATACTAATCATCATGTTTGCTGTAAAAGCTTTTTCAGTTTCGCCAGTATACTGTTACAGTAGAAGCCAATTATTAAAGAAAATAACTTGTAACCATAATCAATCAACTCAGGAAAACTATGCATCAATGGTTTCGAAGGATAATTCCATTTAATTGATCTAGAACATTTTCCCAAGACCAATATATTAAGTTTTATACTAGTAAAATACACTTTCCGTGAACTGTGAGAATACCTTTCCTTGTACACCATTTGCCCTCTGCGCATGAAGAAGATCCATTAGGTGACTTCTCTTGTCAGACTCTTGAACGTACTCAACTCTTTGGACAATCAAATCAGTACTTGAGCCCACTCTTCCAACAGCCAGAAAAACATAATTTGAAAGGAAATCAGAGGCTAGTCTCTGCATATTGACAGTAAATCACAACAAAATTAAACGATGAAATGAGGAAGCTGTACATCCAACAAATAATATTCATATGCATTACTCAGACCGCTCGAGTCACTTACCAATTAAAATTAGAAATAGCAATTATTTAATTGTAATAGAGCTAATCTTTCCAAGAGTAAAGGTGAAGGAGTGATTAAGGGTCAAAAGAACCCTGAATGCAAATATGTGGTGCACAAAAGCATGAGGAACGTGCATCTTAGATTAATTACAATTTACAACTAAGAATGTAAGGTGAGGCGCATCCTCCCTCCAAACATATAGAATATGAAACCTGTATCTCCTTCGGAAATGTGGCACTGAACAACATAGTCTGTCTGGCACCTGGTGGAGGCATGTCCATTTGTTCTACAATCTTCCTTATTTGTGGCTCAAAACCCATATCCAGCATTCTATCTGCCTCATCTAACGCCAAATATCTGATCATCTGCAATGAAACTCTAGCTCTCTCCAGCAAATCTACCAATCTTCCTGGAGTTGCAACAAGAATATCGACCCCTCTCTCAAGTTCCCGTAGCTGGAAAATTGTATTAAATTATGACCTATACCAAAATGTAAATCTTTTGATATCAATATTCAAGCGTGGAAAGAACAGGGATTGAAGACCTGCTGGTTTATTGGAGCTCCACCATAGGCAACAACGACCCTAACCCCTGTCTGGTATGAAAACTTCCTAGCCTCGTCATGTATCTGAAAGGAACGAAGAGACAATATATTACATTTAGACTCGCAGAGCAGTGGAGAGAATTAAAAAGTGAGGAAACCAGTGATATGATGATAGAGTTTATGTAATAAGAAAGTACAGACTTGCATGGATAGCTCCCTAGTTGGCGAGAGAACAAGGGCAAGTGGATAGACAGTACGGACTCCGCGAGGGGGCCTCTGGAGGGGCTGGCCTTGACCTCTCATAATGCCACTGATAATAGGGAAACAGAATGCTGCAGTCTTTCCGGAACCAGTCTGTGCACAAGCCATCAAATCCCGTCCGCCAAGGGATATGGGTATGGCATGCCGCTGAACGGGCGTTGGCTTCACATATTTGCAGCGTCTAATGTTCTGATTAAGAGCCTCGCCCAAGTCAATCTCCGCAAAAGTATTCACAGGTGGGGGCACGTTTTCACCGCTCGTCTCAACGGGAATGTCCTCGTACGCGTCAAAATTAATTCCCGTGTTTTCCTGCTGCTCGCCAAACGCTGCTGCTCCTTCTTCCGCTGCGCCCTCCTGATCTCCGAAGGGGTTCACTTCCCGCCGATCCCAACCACCGTTTCTGTTCCCCCAACCGTTTCTGGGCGCACCCCACCGTGATCCGGCATTATTATTATTATTGTTAGTACTCACATTGGGTGGTAGTGGAGCAGGGGAGGATTCTGCTGACGCTGATGCTGATGCTGCTCGGTTCCTGAGATGGGGAGGCACATAAACGGGCCGCGACGGAGCTGTGGAGTTGGATGTTCCGGCATTCTCGGGCGCGGAATTCGCAGCCAAATCAGCCCACGAATTTAGCATGCTTGTGTTGTGTTGTGTGCTTCCTTCCAAACGATCACGATTGGCGCCCTCACCCTGCAATTGAAACAATTACATTACATTACATTAGATGACATAACAGATGCAGAGAGAGAGAGAGAAACATTGAATGAATGAATGAGTGAAAGACGAGAGAATAGAGAAGAACAACTACCTACCTACCTACCTGTCTGTATTGGGAAGACTAAAACCCTCAAGTGTAGACGATTATTGACGAAGATGGAGAAACCCTAAACGCCACACAACACGCCTTCAAACTTGGATGGGATGGATACAAAAATATCTTTTCTGCCTAAGAATGCGCCCACTCTCTCTCTCTTGCCATTTATTTATTTTCTTTTTCCATTTTTATTTTTTATTTATGATTTATAATTTATAAAGATAAATAAACGGCTCTTTCTGTTTCGGCGTGAAGGTTCAAATCAAGGCTTCAACCCAAATTCAGACTACCCGATGCCATGCCTTGAGTTGCGTTGCGGCGGCTGCTGCCGTAAATCTCAACTCACCATTCTATTCTTAGTTCTCTCATCATCCAATACTAACCTAAATTCTTTACTGCCTAAAGTCTCGTTAATCTCGCAAAATCTCCTCCTTCACTAACCCTTTCCCTTTTTCTATTTCAAATTCTTACTATGCTTTCTTCTTCTTTTTACACTCTATTTCTCTTCCAAATAAACACTTCAAAAATTCAAAAATTACTCCCCTAATTCTATATAAAAACCATCTTACTAATTATAAAGCAACTCTATTTCAAATAATACAAAAATTAGGAATTCGGTTTCAATACAATCCCACATTTTTTCTCCTAACAAAAAAAAATCAAATTCCATCCCATTTAAAGTTAAATATCTTTCAATGTAAAAAATAAATTAATTGCACCTTTATCGTCCATAAACATTATGGTAGTCAAATATATTATCAAAGTGTATAATTGTTTATAAGTAAAAATTATAGAGACACTTTCTTGTAGTTTTTGTTTGGATAAGGATGACAGGTGAAAAAGTTAAAAAATAAAATAAAAATGATATTATTTAAATTGATAAAAAAATAGAAAGTTGATAAGTAATTATAATTTATTTTAAAAAATAAAATATAAACTATAATCATATAATTTAATTTAAGGATATTAATATTATTAATGTGTTATTGTGTTAAAATTTAAATAAGATTAAATATAAAAAAATATACAATGTATTGAATGATAATAGATATTGTTATTCCATGAAAAAAATAAAAATACAATATATTACATAATCAATTATTTCTCTTTGAAATAAAATCTAAAGACAATACATTATGAGGAGACATAATCAATTATTTCTCTCCCTAATAAAATCTAATGCAAACCACCAAAGTAATTGAAAAATGTAAAATCTAATACAAACAATCGAAGTAATTGAAAAATTGTGTATGCACCAACCCTTTTCTTCTCTAAAAGAAATCTCCTTTTAACACGGTGAATATAGACATAAATATAGTTAGTCTTTTTTATAGAAAAAAAATTATTTGAAATATGTTAATAAAAGATAAAATTTATATAGAATATTAAGAATGGATATTAATTATTATCACTCAATGAATGTTATATATAAATAAGTAAATTAGGATTGCATCTCATTAATCTCAGGTTTGCTAGATATTTGTTAGTAGTGGTGCGCAACTGTGTAGAACTTGTTCCTTAGGGCAGTTTTAATCGGATTGAGTCAATTTATTTCACTTTATATGGTTCTATGTAGCCGATTTTGACTGTTAAATAAAATGTAATGTCACTGACCGCTGCAATGAAGTATTCATTGATACATTTGTCTTGGACATCCACCGCTTGTTAAAATTAATCTAATAGTTGATATCAGAGCTCCACACAAGTAACATGATCCAATGATTTCCTAGAAGAAATCTAAGCAATTCTTCACTTTTCCTATTAATCTAGTGCGATGTCAACCCTAGAATTTGTGAAGCCCATCATTCCCAAATTTGATGGTCATTATGACTTTCGGTCAATGACCATGGAGAATTTCTTACGAAACAAGGAGTTGTGAAGTCTAGTGGAAGATGGTGTATCTACACCTGTGGTTAGTTCAGGACCTAGTGGTGAGGCTCAAAAGGAGTTGTGGAGGAAGCCAAATTCAAAAACTTGAGGGTAAAAAAGATTCTATTTCAATCCATTGACAAAGAAATATTAGAGATTATCATTGACAAGAGCACATCACAAACATTTTAGAATTCTATGAAACAGAAGTATAAGGGGTTTCCAAGAGTGAAACACGCAAAACTACAAGCATTGAGGAGAGAAATTTGAGGTATTCACTATGAAAGAAGGGGAAAAAATATGGGACACACCATGACTGTGGTGAGCAAAATGAAGTCTAATGGGGAAGTGATGGAACAAAGTGCTATGATGAGTAAAATCTTTATATCTCTAACCCCTAAATTCAACTATGTTCTTTGGGCTACAGAGGAATCAAATGACATCAATATTCTCACCATTGATGAGTTACACAAGAGTCTGTTGGTGCATGAGCAACGGATGCACGGGTTACAGGAAGAAGAACATGTACCGAAGGCAACCCATGAGGACATTAACAGTAGAAGTACTCAAGAGGAGTGGCCTAGCAGAGGTCGTGGTGGGCGTAAAGGAAGTCGCAACATAGTGAGAGGAAGACCGCCATTCAACAAGGCCACCATTAAGTGTCATAAGCTCGAGCATTTTCAGTATGAATGCCTTGACTGAGAAAGGAAAGTCAATTGTGTTGAGATTGATGATGAAGAAGAAATTCTCTTGATGACACATGAAGAGCAACAAATGCAAGAGGGGCGAACAATGGTATTTTGATTCTGGCTCTAACAATCATATTATAGGAAACAAGACATGGTTTCTAAATTTGGAGGAATAACATTCCAAGACAATAAAACTTGGAAATGATACTCATATGGCAGTGGTAAGAAAAGACAGTATCCTAATGCGTGTTAATGACATCACTCAAGTCCTGTCCAAAGTTTATTACATTCCTGAGCTCAAAAATAATTTGTTGAGTATTGGACAACTACAAGAAAAAGCTTAGCCATTTTGATTTCATATAACTCTTGTAAGGTGTTTCATTCTACAAAGGGATTGGTTATGAACACTAAGATGAGTGGGAACAAAATGTTCTATGTGACAACATTTATGACTCTGATACGGTCATTATTGTCTCCAATTAGAAACTGTCGATGTTAGAGCCTATTTGTCGCACTACCATTTTGCACACTTGAATTACAAAGCTTTGAGCATCTTGATTGACAAAGAAATGGTGATAGGTCTACCTGCTTTGGCCCATCTGTAGAAAACATGTCATACATGTTTAACTGAAAAACAATCCAAATGTTCGTTTCTAAGCAAAAGCTCTTGGAGAGCATTTAAATGACTGTAGCTAGTATATTCGGATATATGTGGCCCTATTTAGCTAGCCTACCATAGTAATAAGAGGTATTTTCTAAGTTTTATTGATGGTTTTACTAGAAAAATGTGGGTATTTTTTGCATGAGAAATCAGAAGCACAAGCAAAGTTCAAGAAATTTAAGGGGCGGGTTAAGAAGGAGGCAGATGCACACATACTGTGCTTGCGGACAGACTAAGGTGGAGAGTTTCTCTCCAATGAGTTTGAAGAATTCTGTCACATACAAAGCATATGAAGACAGTTAACTACCTTCTACACTCCTCAACAAATGGTGTGGTTGAAAGGAATAATAGAAGGATTATGAATGCAATTCGTTCTATGTTAAGCGAGAAGTAAGTTCCCAAGGTGTTTTGATTAGAAGCTGTAAAATGTTGTGTGCATATCCAGAATAGATGTCCATAACAATTGTAGAGGGTGTTACTCTTGAAGAAGCTTGGAGCGGAAAAAAACCAGTGGTAGAGTATTTCAGAGTCTTTGGGTGTGTAGTTCATGCACATGTCCCAGACTAGAAGAGAGTAAAGTTGGATGATAAAAGCAAAAAATGCATTTTTCTGGGAGTCAATGATGAGTCTAAAGCATGGAGGTTATATGATTCAGTCGCAAAAACTGTGATCATTAGTAGAGACGTAATCTTTGAGGAGGAGAAATGTTGGGACTGGAACAAATTGGAGCTACAAAATCAGCAAGAAGAAGTGATATATGGAGATATAAATGATATTACAACAACAACAGCAGGTGCTGATAACAGTGAGGAAGGGAGCAACACAAGCCTGGACAGTACTTTACCAGGTTCATCTGAAGGGAGGGGTGCACGAGCAAGAAGTGCACCAAGGTGGTTGGCAGATGATGACATGGGTGAAGGACTATCAGAAGAAAAATTTGCAATAATGCTAATAACTGAGAATGACCCTATATCATTTGAAGAAGCCGCAAGGAGTAAACACTGGAGAGAAGCCATGGTTAAAGAAATAGAAGCTATAGAGAAGAATCATAGATGGGAGCTCACTGATGAGTTATTATATTCTTATATTTTCTTCTCTTTCTGAACTTATTTTAATTAGTGTTTTGCGCTTAACTTTCTGTTATTAGTGAATTTTTATTAATTGGGCTTCATTGGACCAATAATTCAGATTTTAATTAATTTGAATCTATTTAATCTAATTTTTGTTTATTATTATTTTCAGGACAATTTAAAGCAATTTTGGACCTAGAAGATTGGGCCACATGCTATATTACAGTTTAAAGCAATTTTGGGCTTGGAAAATTGGGTCAATTGTCATATTTTATTCTATACGAGTAATAACATTGGTTCACTGTTTTATTTATCATTTTTTATAAAGAGCTTAAAAAATCATGATTATAAAAGCATTATAAACTAGACACATTCAGCTTTCCATAGGATCTAGAATCATTCAATTCGGAGCTAAATTTGATTTTACATAAATTATCCAAAACGGGTCAAGCGCACTAGGCTGGCCCAATGGACATGCTTCAGTAATTTAAGTCTCCTAAATCTATTAGAACTCTGAAAATAGTAGAAATGGT